CATCATCATCGGATCAGGGGCTTTCCCCGTCATATAGAAAATGTGTCCACAATCAACTCATGCTTACTTCAAGAGACACTATAGCAATGCATTTATATATCAAGAGGGTCTGCACTAAGCGCTCTGTTGTATGGCCACAAACTACCAGCCTATTCTGCCCAGCCAGTCGCACTTCCGACGGGAGTTGAACGCTCCTTATTTTGGGATTAAATCGCCTTTGTGACCGCACCCCAACCGCGGCGCCGCCGGCCGCCACACGCGATCGGCGAACTTCGAAACGGACCGGTGAGGGTGCACCCAGGTGCACCCATGACCGTCGTGAAACTCGATTTTTGAGACGTTGCTGAATTATATATAATGTGAAACTTGAGGTATTTCAAGTCAAGTACCAGGTATAAATAGTTATTCGAGTACTCAATAGTCAATACTCAAGTACAAGCACTCGGGTTCAAGAACCAAAGCGGCGATAAATATGTATATCAGATGGTTTTGAAACTTTCGCGATTCTGCACCGACGCTGGCTATTTCTCAGCAACATATACTTGCAACGGTTGGAGGTCAACGTTGTGCATATTGGGCAGTCCTCGGTTTACATGGATACTTATTTCCATCGCTTTATCCCTCTACTTAGTCGCCGTTTCGCGGTTTATAATCCTTGCTCAGTCCTACGCTCCACCTATAAGTCGAGTTGCCGGGCAGAGATACACTCTGCAGTGCCTCCATAAGTTGGCATTTGCGTGACGTCATGTCGGGGAAGTTATTTTAGGCTTCGTCACGCTCGCACCAGACGTTTTGGGGTCAGAATCAGTACTGAAGTGGAGGCCTGCCAATCTAACCATTCGGAGACGCGGTCACGTGCTTCGCGAGCTGTAGTTGAGTGGGTCAATTACGTGTCAAGTCGACATGCCATCAAGAAAAACAAGCATTTTGACCGCTCCTGACGTGTATTTTGATGGACGTTAGCGGCCTCTGTGAGCTTAGCAGTACGCTCTTAACTTGTCTGCAGAATATTTTAGAAGATTCGAAACGTTTAATGCTCCCAGTTTGAAAAATGCAAGTCGTTATGTGATCTTTTATGCATTCTTTTCTGGGCCGTACTGAAAACATTCATATTTTTGGGAAATAACACTTATTTTAGGAAATACGTTGATGGATATGATTAAATGTATTTTAAGTACCTATGTATAAGAGCTATAGAATAATTGCAAATATTGCAATTTCATGCAATCTGTTTCGGACATAACTTGAACCAGACGCCTGGCCAAATCCGATTAGTGCCTCTGGATTAGCCATGCTCGGTGCCACATCAACTTAGCTACACTGGATCTCGGCTCTCTCTGTGTCATCTGTATTACCAGCGATAATCGGTGGATGTCAGGATTGGGGATGACTTTTTGATTGGTGTCACCTGTTATTGGCTGGCACTTGACAGCAATGAAAGGTGCCCGAATATTATGATAGCAAAATTGCAACTGTGAAAATGTTAGTCTTTTTTTCTAAGAGCATTTCGCTCATATGTGTATTGGAATGCATTTGAGGCCTCCTGCATCCAAATTGTTTACATATTTTAGACGACTACGCCGCGCCGCGTCCCTCTGGATTTATGGATCGTTTTATTTACTTTTTCGCGCCTCTGCCGTTTCGTCCTGTCGCCATCTGCGTCCCACACACACAGGAGCAGCGAGGGGAGTGAAGACTGCCTTCCACCAAACGCTGAGCTGCTATAGCTATGGGTACGGTGGTTCCGCCAGGCCTGCCTTTCGCAAAGAGGAGCTAGCCCTTGGATCCAGTTTCAGCTGGTAGTGCCAACCGGCAGCTCTTTATGCCTGCAAGCTCGTAACATCATGTCCTAGCCCGTGTCTAATCGCAGACCCTCGCCTGAATGTATGTCCAATTGCAGCCGCTACCTCTATGCCCTCGTCGCCACGTGTCTAACTGCGGCTGATAACCACACTTTGGTCAGACTGGCCCGCGCAGGTTCAATGACAGCCGGTGGCTATTTTTTAACTCAACCTGACATGGATTTGAGCGAAGGCTATGAGATTTGGGATCAATGTGTGATCTATGCTCGAATCCGATAGCATATATCGTGTATTCGCCCATACGTGTGTGATGACGGCACCAGCGCCTCGCCGATATATCCAATGGCAGCCGGTAACAACTAACAACATCAAACCGTCGCCCCTTTGTGTCCAACTGCAGCCGATAACGACACCTTATATTAACACAGCGGATATAAGCGTCAATTGAAAGCCAGTTTTTGCTGTACACACTAAAGAGCATTGTATCTGCTGGCCTTGTAGACTAGCACTTGTCTGTCGAAGCATCACATTCGTCAATATCCGTTGGAGCTTCGCGGACATGCCGGACTTTATTCTTTGTTCGTTTTTTTCAGGGCTCCACACAAAACATTTTCCGGTGTGATTCTGTTTCAGAGGTATGACGTTTTTACTACATTCGTGGCTATTGTTGCTCTGTGTCACAAGATATCGAACATTCCTCGCTATAAATTCCAGTCATGTCTAGCTGATTCAGCAGTCATCCAGTTCTTTGATATTCTGGACATTTTTCTGTATGTAAGTACGTTGTGGTTATCAGTTCGATGCCTGGGGAGGCGCACTCTGGAAAAATAATAGTTGAACTAGGGTCAATTCAACAAGACACAACCGAAGGTGACTTCCGATGGTCAAATGGCCGTTGACGCTACAAGAACGACAATGGGTAAGCGGCGCGTAGAAGGTCGTCAAATAAATTGAATAGACCTAATACTGAAATCAATGTTTAGGTCAGGTCAACGGTAAGGCTGCCAGAGGTCATCAAATGTCAAGTTTTCCAATATTGCCGTTATTACGCAGATTAGCTCATGCTCGTGAACTAATAGAGCAAAAAGCATTCGGTAGCTGTTCAAGTGCTCTTTGGCAGTTTTGCTGAATGGTAGAAAACCGGTGTCTAGAGTGGGAATGCCGTTCATATAGACGTATATGTGGGGAACAAAGTTTTCTGAAATTACTTTAGATTGAGAACGCAAAGCATTCTGTTAGACGTATCGATTGAAGTGCAGTTTAACCCGCGAGTTGCTGGGGGGGGGGAGGGGGGCGTTAAACGCCCCCACCTTTTTCGCCGGGCCATAGCATAAAAACGGCGCGCTGCAGGCGCGCCAAATTTTGGGTACATGTAGGGAATTGATTGAAGTTAATTGTGACAAAGTTTCAAAAAAATCGGTTGGAAAATTTTTGAGATATCGAGGTTTTAGTGACGTCATAATTTCTAAGTTTTCGACCAAAAAACGGCATATGTTCAAAAAATCATATAAAATCACAGAATAGACATACATACATGCCGTAAATGCCATTAGACTGCCAATACCATGAACAATCAAATGGCTATCTTCGATTATTGATTATCGTTCCGCATTTTCCAAAATCTTGAACTGAATCTTTGCAATTTCTCGTGACTATTTCACGACCATGATACATGCATTTCTTAAATTGAACTTTTTGAGCCAAACACGTACACATATGATAAAATGAATGTCACCATCGTGTTCTACGCCCCAAATTACCCATAAAACATGTGTCACAGGCTGCGAATATCAGTTTTGATTTTCGGGGATATGTGCCTACCCGGTTGACCTGACCTTGACCCTGACCTATGCTTGACTGACCCCTACATGTAGCGGACACTCTTGTAGGCTTTATATGATGGATTGTGCACCATTTTGACAGAGTTTGTGACGAGAGGCGTCCATTGCGAAGTCCTGAAGTCTATGCTACTGAAAGCCCGATTTCAGGTGTTTGACCTGACCTTGACCCGACCTGTGACCTCAACATTCAACTTTAAAGTATTCATCTGAAGCGTCTCGTTGCGCTCTTTCGTTTGCCGCCTCGTGCGTTTCGCTGCGCCTATTAGTTCTCGAGTTATCGGCTGGGGGCGTTTAACGCCCCCCCCCCCCCCCAGCAAACGGTGGGTGGCGAAATACCCCAGCAACTGCCGGGTTAACCTTAAAAAGCCATCCGTTTATTCGGAGGCTGGTGGGCGCTCTCAGAAACGGGCATTTTTCGTATCAGCAAATTTAACATAACGTTGTTTATCAAATGCGATGTTTGTAATTATGAGCGTGCAATAATCTCTGCAATTCCGACTGTGCCTCCTGTTCACGCCTCTGCTCCGGAAGCGAGCCGTTAAGCCGTTAGCGGCTGGTCGACAGTGGTGTCCTGCCCCGCTCCCAGCCCTATACGTCCGCTGTTCGACCGATAGATCGCGCGTACCGCCGGCAACTAATCCGGGCTTTGATATCATCCTGCCGCTATTGATTCCACATTAATATATTGAAAGGAGTCGGTCGGCCCCGCAACGCGCGGTCAAAACCATGAATAATTTCGCAGGAAACCTACGTGGCTATGAATGTTTTACGATATGGCCTATAAACATGTAAATTGCCGGTCGGTCTGGTGTGCTTTTCGCCGCGGCTTTAACGATTCGGCTGGCCGGCCCCGAACAGGCTGGCTAGGACGCTGCCAGCGCCGCCGCCGTCGCCGCCGCGCTGCCGGATACCGTCAATGCAATCATACTTTATTGGACAAGTTCTGACGGTATAATCCCAGTGTCAATATCTCACGGCGGCGCCGATTCTATAATATTACCACAGAGGGGCGGCCAGGGCGGGGGGGGGGATATGGTCGATAGGTGGGCCGCCCACCGCAGCCAGCCGTGCCCGCTGCGTTCAATACCATAGGCTATTTGTTTTCATATTATTTGCAGATGCTGGCGGGCGCCCGGTCGTCGCCCGCCAGCGACGGGCGCTATCGCTGGAACCCGGCGCAAAAAGTTTGTAGGCTTTCGCGCGGATGTGTTTTTGTGCTGACAGATGCGACGAACGCCGGTTTCGCGAAGGACGAAGATCGATTATATGTGATTCGGGGAGCCGGTGCCGCCACAGGTCACGGCGTTATGAGCTCTCGGTCTCGGGCCGGGCCGCGCTCCGGCGGCCGGCTAGCCTCGACGCCATCTGGTGCCGGCCGGTGGCGCGCGCTCAGTCGCTGATCGGCACGCGAGCGGAGAGGGTCCGTAGCGCTGCCGGCCGCCCCCGCCCGACCGGCGCGTGAGCCCCCGGAACAGCGCTGCTGGCTGCCATGGCGTCGGCACCACAGCACTACTGCCTGCGCTGGAACAACTACCAGTCGAACCTGACGTCCGTCTTCGACCAGCTCCTGCAGAGCGAATCGTTTGTGGACGTGACGCTAGCCGTGGACGGCCGCTCGCTGAAGGCCCACAAGGTGATCCTGAGCGCGTGCTCCCCCTACTTCCAGACACTGCTGCACGACAACCCGTGCCAGCATCCGATCGTCATCCTCAAGGATGTGACGTACGCCGACATGCACGCGGTGGTGCAGTTCATGTACAAGGGGGAGATCAGCGTTGCCGAACAGCAGCTCTCCAGCCTCCTGAAGGTTGCTGAGGCGCTCAAGATCCGCGGCCTGGCTGACGTGCCTGAAGGCGGCGGGTTGAGCCGAGCCAGCCCAGAGGCGGCACCCTCGCCAGCGGCCGATTCGAGCTCCCCGCGCGGCCTGGCCACCCCGGAGCTGATCGAGAGTTGTGTGGATGTGGCGGCACTGTCTCCGGCATCGGGGGCAGCGAGTCCACTGGTCAGCAGGTCACAGGACTCGACAGAAATCCGGCCGGCCATCGCCGAGATGATTAAAGACGAGGAACGGGTGAGTACCTTCTGTTGGTTTCTGTCTTTGTGGAAGGGCCGGGGGCTGGATGGGAGTGGCTCACTACTGAGAGGGTATTTGCAAGATTGGACTTTGTCCCGCTATAGTGAGGCGGATTCTGTACCTTTGGTCGATCGTGGCGGGGTATCGCGGCAGGTTGGCTTAGCGCTGTCTGGTTAAGGTTCGCTCCTGGTTTGCTGCCTTTGGGACAGGAGTGATCCACGCTGATCTACTCCGCACCAGCCCCGTGAGTGGGTGCGCCCCCTCCCGCCCACCAGGACTGACTCCCTGAAAGAGTGACTGCGTTTCTCGTGGCAGCCGCATAGCGTGTGTGCCGCAGATACGTCGCTTGGCTTCAACCGTTCAAGGTTTATGAGTTTATGGCAGGGTTTCTATCATTACTAACACCTGTGGATTGAGGATAAAACCAGATAAAACTGTAGACAGACGGTGCAGAGTTCGCCAGACACACCGGATGATCTAGTTGTCCGGCTATGGAGGCGGATTGCCGGTTCCCAGGCGATTGTCTGGCTGGCTGCAGCAGCTCGCCTGCTGGGAGGATGGTTGTCCCCCTCGGGAGGGATGGTGGGTGCTCTCGTGCCGTCCATCGCGGCGGAGACGGAGCACGTTCCACTTTCATTTCATATGGATATCATGGAATGCCTTTGTGGGTAATAACAGCTCATTACTCATGTATGGATGGCTGACGTCTGTCGATTGATGCTGTTTGGAAGAAAATTATAGGTATATGTGTATTGATGTGTGCTACGTAATAGTCATACGCCTTTGTATGGTCTTCTCTTCTAAATCCAAAATTATATTTTATGTTATTTATTATCTTCACATCGAATGTCGCAGTTAGCAAGCGATGTCAGTTACATTCAATGTTAATGGTATAGAGAAAGTTCCTTGTTATAATGCGATATTGGTTTGAGCAATGAATTAAAGTTATAGCGGCTCAAAGCCTGTGAACTTCGCAGCAACGCTCTTGCTTTCCTAAGCAAGTAAAATGTAAACCATAGTTCATCAAGCGAAGCATCGACCTGCCTAAACCAAGGACGAGGAATATTTGGATAGAGTGAGTCATTATTTTTTCTGTGTGCCTAGGACCAAGATGGTGAATTGGAACGGAGCTTTCAAACAAAATACTGAATGTTTTTGCTTCTGAGTGCGTAGTCCGGGATCTCGAAATGTTTTGAAAACAGACTATGCAAGTTGATTGACTGCATGTATCATTTGAATAATTCCTTGGAAATATAATGATAGAATAGAAATGTGAATTAACTAAACGATTTCTTTGGGAATTAATGTCTTTCTAATCTTTTTTAAGTAAGCAGGAGCAAAAATTCTCGTCTATCAACAGCGCACCAGTGAAAATGCACTGCAGTTATTTGAACCTCAAGTTATATTTGTTTCATTTACTATCTCTTTTTCCGTAGTGGCAAAATGGCGTCATACATGTTCGTTACATTCCCATGCCTTTTGAACAGGTATGCTGTGTTACAATGACGCCGTTCACGTAATGTGTTTGAGGTGGTTGATATCATCTTTAAGCCGCAAACTCCAAAATCCATGCAGGTGCAATGTGTAATATGTAGTGTGAAAATGGTTAATAATGATATTAAATTGTAAATTAATGGTTGTAGAAATGTAAAATAATGAGTTTCTTTAACATCAAATAATTTGCAATGCATAGGGGAGAGTGGGGTAATTTGGCCGCTTTTTTTTAGAAAACGATGTAACTTAAAATTAACGACACATTTCTGCATTTTCTCAACGCTGGCAGGTGTCGCATTCATTTTACTTTACTGGACAGTGAACTTGAAATGATAGAGTAATTACTTATATTGAAATTGTGACGTATTACAAAGGTCTGCAAGGCGGCCAAATTGCCCCACTAGCAGGGTTATTTGGCCGGGGGTGTGGGGCAATTTGGCCGGTGTTAGTTTACGGTCGGGATTTTCTGTTATATTGCGAGTTAGCTTCAGATTCAGCAATGACGTGTGTCCTATGACGCATTTACCACATTTTGGAGGTTGACTCATGGGGTCACAGGGGTCAAAATAGCCAAATTAGCGGCTCTAGATGCGTAGACAGTTTTTTTACGAATAACTTTTGAAGTAATCAAGCTAGGCCAAAACTTCGAGTACCATCGTAATTCTCTCGTCATTCCGCATCGAAACATATATGTGTTGACCTCGAGAAGTTAAGGTCAAAGGTTGACCTCAAGTCACGTTACCTCAGATCGCTTGACCTCAAGGTCACGTGAGTTCAAGGTCATCATGCATATCATTCGATGCGCCTTGGCGAGCTGAACAGAATGAGACCATTTGTGCGGCTGTACCATTTTTATGTAAGGATTTATTAGCAAAAAACGTTTGGTAACCTTTGATGACGTCACATGCTCTTACAGTCGACCAATCGGAAGTAAGTCATCAAAGTAGTCAAAGTTGGTCATGAATCATGTCATTTATGGTACAATTGACCATGAAAACTCGGCCGTCCCAGCATAGTGACCATGAGCGCACCGGCCAAGTTGCCCCGCTAGTCCCGGCCAAATTACCCCATATTGCCATTCTGAAAATTTTTGTGTATAAAGTCATCACGGCTATACGGAATTAGATGAAATTGCTCTTGGAACCGCTGAATACCCCCAAGAATGGCGCTATAATGTCTGAATTCGTTTTTAGCCCAAATACTACATGTTATACAACTTTGTAAACAGAAGTAAAAGTTACCATTTTCTAATTAAATTAACGTTTTATTAATTTTTAATAAAACTACGAGGGGCAAAGTTTTGACATTTGTCCTCCAGTTATTTCTACCCATGACAAATGAATAGAGACTAGAGTTATTTCACTCACTTTTATTAGACACCGTACAGGTGGGGGCGGCCAATTTACACCACCGGCCAAATTACCCCACTCTCCCCTACACACTTGCAGTCACCCGCCATCCTTATTTTGGAGCGTAGTTAATATGTGTGCAAAATGAATCAGCTAAGTTGAAGTAGATTACACAAAAAAATGATTTACGGCACAACTGTTAAGCGTTAATTTGTCCCTTGGCTTTGTTGCAATGGCAAGTCGCTTATTGATGTTTATCGTTGCAATATGTAAGTAAATGTTACAAACGGTTCTACACATTTCTTACCGATTTTCAGTATCTTATTATTTCAAGTCGCATGAAACTTATGAAGAACTTATATGACACGCATATTGCAGAATGGGTTTTGAATCTGTAATATGCTATCTTGCAAGGTAAATTAGTAAAAATTATTGCTTGATGTCGAGTCGTCAGCCATGAGCCAATTGTCAAAATAGCGTGCTCTACGAACCCGATAAGACGGCGAGGAGATGTATTTACCGATACTGATATTGCTAAAAGCTTTGATCTCTGAGATTCGGCATGCGTTCCTCTAAAACGTCTAATGATACTTGCTGGAGGTTAAAGTTCAAGTGCATTTACAGCAGTGCGGGACCACTATCTTCTGAAATATACCTATTTGATATGTATTGCCGTATTTTTCGGCATGTTATTGGAAAAGCAACTGCACACTACAGTTGTTGAACAATGGACATGCTTCAGTCATGGTTTTACCTTGCAATAATGTCAAACTGACTCACAAGGGGGCAGCGAATGCCTAAACGAACATTAGTCTTTCGGTCAATTTGCCGTTTGTGATGTGCTGGCTTTTTCGTTAATTGCTGCTCAAACTCGTGGAGTCATCAGCTGGTAAACATGTGTCCCGTTTTACGTCACCCTAATAGATTTGCAACGTTTTCTGGCCGTTTCTATTTCCCAGTGTCCGATGTTTTGTTCGGGCATCCGCCACTCTGTTCAGGAATTCGGCAGGTGCATGGACCCCACTACGTGACCGAGTGCACAGTGGTCTTCATTACAATATATCTGATCCATCGGCGGCCATAAATTCCGTTTCGGTCGTCGCCGGGCAGATTTCAGCGCCGTGCACGGCACTGTTGCAGCCTATCCCAAGTGAGGACGACGAGCGGCGAGCTACCCGCCGGCCAGCCATCTCACGCCCGTTATTGGGTGTCGTCCTCGTGAAGGACAAAGCGACGGACGCCGGCGGGCAGCTGATTAAATTATACCGCCCTGCCACCCGCCTCCTGCCCGCCTCCGACACCGACAGCAAACTGTACTTTGTGCATTGCAGTGTGCATAGGGGCACCGGCCACCGGCGACTGGGTGAACCGGCCGCCGAGGTATTCACCCCACATTTCTCAGAATAAACATTTTTCAGGCCTCAGGGATCCCCCGCTCGAGGGGGCTGGTTTCGACCAAACGGTCCATGCAATACCTATCAATGCATTTTCCCTGTACGGTGTTGCAATGGAGTATGAGAAGGAGCTTTTGCACAAGTATGTTTGGTGTCCTTGTGCCCCAACGAAGTGTCAAAATTGTTGAACTTGTTTGGTATCGTTAAGCAAATACCCTACATGGGGCAACATGCCATTGTCTGTGCGCACATTCCGTGAAAATGCCCATGAAATGGAAACATTCTTCGCACAGACACCCTTTCACTGTTTCCAACACAAAGAGGCTTTAGCCGCCAGATGGCAACCCATTCCTTCACGGCCGAAACCAAACGACAAGTCTTGTTATACGAGGACAACAATTCGTTAGCGAGGGGCGGAGCATGATAATGTCATGTTATTCAGAAAAGCTACATGCACAACATATGCATATGAATAGATGGACGAGCAAATAAATGCATACCAATAGAGTTCGTGTGCTGAGAAAGGTCCAGCTGTTGAACAGAGTGGCTACACGCTTTGTCAATGTTTGTCACCTGAATGGCGGGGTAGGGGCGGCTTGTGCAACTACACAGGTCATTGTGGGTACACAGGGGTGCTAAAGGAGACTGGGAGTCAGAGGCGGAGCTTGCTATTCGAGTGCAGGACTTTGTTGCTTGTCAAATTATTTTTTTCGCATTGAGGTGGTTTTGCAATGTCTTTGTAATGCAAGATATTATACCT